ATATGGTTAAATATTTAAAATGAGTTTCTGAGGTATTATTAAACACCAGCTTTACTTTCATAATCATATTACTATAACATCTTAAGAGATCTGCACCCAGCTGACCTTCTTTTGAGATACATTTGCATTAGTATTCAAGATACATTTAAAAGTCCTTTGGGTGCATCCTTATGGAGAATTAATTATTATTTTAAGACTTTTATTATGCCTCAAACCAAAATGGCTCCCGTGTGATCTGTAAAATTAATTAGAAAACTTCTTATAACCTTGGTACTTTGCTGCATTATTGAACCTTCCTGACAACAGTGGCCAGATCCTCACTGCATCAGCTGAAGCTGACAGCCGATTGGCTGCTTCATCTTGGCATGTGCACAAATACAATATTGTCCACTTCTAGAAAAGCTAAACATTGTCTTCCTTCCCATATAAAGTGATCAGTTGCATATAGTGGAGATAATTTAATTTTCATATTTGTATATACACTGTTATAATCTAGCAATGATATCTGTGTCCAGCTTTTCTATAACTCATTTGATCATAAGCCATTTTATTCAATCAAATATAAAATCATAGCACTCATAGAAAGATTTGCTGCTGCTGTGATCAAATATCTTAAGACAAATAAAGTTGGTTGGTATCACTTTATTTTGATGGTCCCTTTAACATTAAATTTAAATTACACTGCATCTACATGCTAACTAATTGTCATTAGAATATACGTAGACTGTTAGGCTGGGTTTAGGGTTTGGGTTAGTGTACTTGTAAAGTTTTTTATAGTCATTTAAAGGAGCAACATGAGTAGATATTAGGCAGACAGTCTGTCTAGTAGTCAGTCTAGTAATTACCATGCAACTTAAAATCAAGAAAAAGTGCAGCAGGGACCATCAAAATAAAGTCGTACTACACTGAAAAAAAATTGTTCAAAGATGATTCCTTGGATTGACTCAATTTTTTTTTACATTAACTGTTTGTAAACAATTTATTTGTGTTGAATTTAAACAAACAAATTTAGTTGAACAATATTAAACTTAATTTGTTTGTTTAAATTCAACACAAATAAATTGTTTGCAACAGTTCTGCATGCAACACTTTTTTCAGTGATAGCTGCAGTTGAGGATGGGTAGATGGTAGTGTTCATGTGTCCTACATGCTTTAAAAATGTGTCTTTGCACTGTAAAATCCAAAAGGATAAGCCATTTGAGGAAACTGATTGAAATAAACCATTTAAATTCAAAAACGAATCCTAATGAGTTCTGTGAACTTAATCCATATGAGTATATGAAGCAATTTAAGCACAGTAAAACCCAATAAATGAAGAGAACTCAAATCAACTGAGTACTGTAAACCCCAATAAGTTAAGGCAACTCAAACCATTTGAGGAAACCAATGGCTACAAACCATTTGAAAATCTGATCTATATGAGTATTGAGAACTTACACAGAGTTCAAAACTCTTTTCAAATGAGTAGAATTAACCTTCAGTATATTTTAGTTAACTACACTCGTTTCAGTTGATAAAGTTGACTGTTGGGTTTTACAGTGTGGTTGAGTTTTAATCATACAATATTTATTCTGATGCTTTTGAATCTTGCACCTAACAAAAATCCTTATTTACAGCTAAAGAAAATTAAAATACTGAACTAATAAAAACATACAGTTGAAGTCAAATAATATTAGCCCCCCTGAATTATTAGTCCCCTGTTTATTTTTTCCCCAATTTCTGTTCAACAGAGAACAGATTTTTTCTTAACTTAATAGTTTTAAGAACTCATCTCTAATAACCGGTTTATTTTATCTTTGCCATGATGACAGTAAATAATATTTGACTAGATATTTTTCAAGACACTTCTATACAGCTTAAAGTGACTTTTAAAAACTTAACTAGGTTAATTAGGTTAAATAGGCAGGTTAGGGTAATTAGGCAAGATATTGTATAAGGATGGTTTGTTCTGTAGACTATCAAAAAAATAATTAGCTTAAAGGGGCTATTAATTTTGTCCCTAAAATGGCTTTTAAAAAAAATAAAAACTGCTTTCATTCTAGCCAAAATAAAACAAACAAGACTTTCTTCAAAAGAAAACTGTGAAAATGTCCTTGCTCTGTTCAACATCGTTTGGGAAATATATTAAAAAAAAAGGAGAGAAAAAAAATCAAAGGGGAGGCTAATAATTCTGACTTCAACTGTATAAATTATTAATAAAAATGAACATAAACTAGCAAATTTCTCTCTAAAAACTAAATAAAACTCACTGAATTGGAAAACAAAAAGTCAAAACGAAATAAGAACTAAAACTGCGCTCAATAATTGATTAAATAAACACTCACTCACTTTCATTTAGATTATTCCCAGCTTTATCCGGGGTCACCACAGTGGAATAAACCATCAATTACTCTGGCATAGGGTCTAAACAGCGGATGCCCTTATAGCCGCAACCCAGAACTGAGAGGACAACCATCAGTGCTGAGAAACACTCACACACTCTCACAAACATACACTGCATCCAATTTAGTTTATTCAATTCACCTATAGCGCATGTCATTGCACTATGAGGGGAAACTACAGGACACCGGATATCTGGGGGCCCCAAATAAATATCTAGAAGTATAAACTATACCTTCCCAGTGATGGGTTGCAGAAGGAAGGGCATCCGCTGCGTAAAACATATGCTGGCTAAGTTGGCGGTTCATTCTGCTGTGGCGACCCCAGATTAATAAAGGGACTAAGCCAAAAAGAAAATGAATGAATGAATAAATTATACCTCTAAACTATATATAACATCGTTTTCTACCATATTTTGTATGGTGAGAGTTAAATAAATACAATTTTAACATGATTAAATATTATTTAATAAGCAATCAAAAATAATAATATTATAATAATGTAATGTTATGTAATAATAATAATAATAATACAAAATAAAATATCCATCATGGAGCAGTACAGCAGTCAAATTTACAACAACAAAAAAAATCATTATTTTTAGTTGTAAATTTATTTTAAGAAAACTAATCATTTAAAATGTAGATTAGTTTAAAAGAAGATTTAGTGATATATAAAACAGCAATATAAATAGAATATAAATAAAAATAGAAAGGGTGCATTTCAGGAATTGGCCCATATGGCTGGAATTGCTCAGGGCCCCAAAACTACTAAATCTGCCCCTGCACTTAAATCCCCAGCATGGACCGTGCCACACTTTAAGCTAGACTTGATTGCAGGGATGAAAGGGGATGAAGAGAAATGGAAGAGTGAACAGGTAGGTAGGTTGATCGGACGTCTTATTATGATGCCCAAATACTCAGAGTTGGGGTATTGTCTCTGTAATATTGTGGTAGAGTGATTACCCACTGATTCAAGGAGGGAAGAAAGGGTTATCATGATTGTTAATGGGAAGCAAGGAACCTGGGGGAGGGAGGGTGGGTTCAAGAGAATGAGAAAAACAATCGTGCTGGTCTGCCTTAAATAAGTTTTAGGGAGGAGGTGATTGGTTAAGGAGGCAAAGTGAGGTGTGGTCCCACTGCCAACCCTTTGTTAACAAGTTAACTTAAGTTTTTTACAAATTTAAGTGGATTGAACATAAAACAATTAAGTTGTAGCAAAAAAACAGGAATTGTGTTGTTTCAGTTTAAATAAGTAACTTGAACAAACAGTAAACATCTGAATTATAATATTTTGCATGTTGTGTACATTATGAAAACAGATCAATTTACTTTTATATACATTTAAAAAGCTTTCCAAATTGATTAATTGAAATAGCTCGATGTATATGTTGTTTAGTGTGTAAGAAATATGTTCGATTTGTCAATTACCTTCACCTCATCATAAAAAATCTATACTCATTTGCATTTTAAGTGCAATAAGTCTGACTTTGCATAAGTTTGTGTGGTTAAAATTAGTTTATTAAGAAAGAATGTTGCAATTGCAAGGAATTTTATCAAAGGACAAGGCAATTATGCCATAAACAGGGGCGGATTTAAACAATAAGCGAGGTAAGCAGCCACATAGGACCCCGGGGAATAGGGGGCCCCGAACAATGCCAAGAAGCCTATATTAATCATATAGCTTTTTCTTTGTAGATATTTGCCATCACATGTTGTTAATCTGTCTATAACCATTAAGATTTCAATGTTATTACTTATTTTAAAAACCTGGGACACAATGAATAGTGGAACTTTACTTTTATCTTTTTCATTTTACATTAAGAATATAAAGGTTCCACTTGAAATATATTTAGAAACATGCTGTTTATTTACAAAAGACAAAAAAAAATTATATATATATATATATATATATATATATATATATATATATATATATATATATATATATATATATATATATATATATATATATATATAGACAATGAGAGTTTGTTGAGTTTCAATGCTGGGGCCCCATACATGGAATTGCTTAGGACCCCCAAATCACTAAGTCCACCCCTGACCATAAATTACAACATGTCTTTGCTGAACTGCGTTGCTTAATAATAGACAGACAACACAATAGTTTTGCAACAAAGGTTTATAATGCATTTTAAAATACAGTAAGTAAAATAAAATGTTTTAAATAGCAAACATATGTCAAAAAACACCCCTTTTAATTAAATAAGTAAAGTTTTGGTGTGCAGGAGACATTTTCATCAAAAACATTTGCATAATGTTACTCCAAACTTTGTTTACTGAGAGCTTCAATCATGCAGATGAAGAGCGCAACTATACTGTCCTGCTGCAATGCATTAGGGTCTGCAGAAAATGCAGCAAGTGCACTAAACAACATGCAATGCAGAAAGTCACAGCTTGTTAACTTCACCTTTTATACAATTTTAAAAGACTTCGACCATCGCGGGGCATTGAGGTGAATTGCTGAACACCCCAACGACCCCGTGCTTCTCCTCCGTCTTCATCGATTTTCCGAGGGGAGGGTGGTGCTCGTGCCTCGTTGACAAAGTAAGAGCGCGTATAAATACAACGGGACAGAACGCAACTATGCCCTCACCACACCACCAATTCACAAGCACCATTCACCATGGACATGATGAGCTCCTCCCGCCGAAGGGCTCTGGAGACACGGAGTATACGCCCGCCGACATCCACCGTGCGCTCGTGGGCTAAAAGCAGCCCTCTGTCGTTCAAAAGAACCACGAATGTGTCTTCCTCCAGAGCCGCGTACAGCCCCGCCGTGCTCGCGTCTCCTGACGGGTTCGAGCTGAGCGCGGCACTCAATGGAGATCCGGTGCGCAATAACGAGAAGGAGCAGCTCCAGGGGCTCAACGACCGCTTCGCCAGCTACATCGACAAGGTTCGCTTCCTCGAGGAGCAAAACAAGCAGCTTGAGGCGGAGATTCAAGCGCTAAAGCAGCAGAAACTGTCGCAGTCTCTGCAGACCGATGCGTACGACCGCGAGCTCCAAGACCTGCGCTGCGCCCTGGAGCAGCTCCACAAGGAGAAGGCGCAGATCCTGCTGGACACCGACCATATGGACGAGGATCTCCAGCGGATCCGAGAGCGCTACGAAGATGAATCCCGGCTCAGAGAGCACATGGATGCTGCGATCCGAGGCATGAAGAAAGACAAAGACGACTCGGTTCTCATGAAGATGGACCTGGAGAGGAAAGTTCAGGCGCTCGTGGACGAAATGGACTTCTTGCGGCAGAACCACGAGGAGGAGATCAGCGAGCTTCTAGCTCAGCTTCAAGCCGCGCAGGTGCCGGTGGTGGAGATGAGGGACCTCCAGAAGACCGACATCACCTCTGCGCTCCGGGATATCCGCGCGCAGCTGGACGGGCTGTCCTCCAAGAACCTCCAGCAGGCTGAAGAAGTGTTCAAGTGCCGCTACGCCATGCTGACGGACGCCGCGGAACAGAACAAGGATGCTATAAAGTCCATACGGGACGAGATCGGGGACTACCGCCGTCAGATCCAAGGCAAGAGCGTCGAACTGGAGGCTCTTCGAGGCACCAAAGATTCACTGGAGAGGCAGCTGCATGACATCGAGGACCGCCATAACACCGACGTGTCCAGTTATCAGGTCAGTTCCTCAACCAATACTTTAATAAGAATTGAAACATGGAAATATTAAACTAATCCGGTCACGCAAATGCTGTTTAACTCTCTATAATATAACTTTATGTTATGGCATGATTTATATTATATTAAATCTGACAGAAAGAAACTAACAAAATAAACTCAAACAAGAAATCTCGCTGCACCACCGTGATGTAATACACAATATTTACGCGCCGAGTACATGTGAAATGATGACGTTTGAAAGTATTGATGCGGTTTTCTTGATTTGGAAAATGATCTTATTATTAAGGTTTATTCATTTGTTGATCTAATGTCCTTGATGAAAGCAAAAGCACATGGCATTGTTGCAAAACAGACTGCGTCACTGATACCTAAAAATGCTGCCTACGAGGTTTTGAAACGTAGCCATTATTTCACAGGTGGTTTGCGCAATGCGTGCGTAATTATGCGCAACGTGCAGTGCGCATCCTTACTTTTTACGACTGCTGCAGATTTCAGTTCAGAAATCTGTTGAATTATTTTAAAGCAGATCTGCTCAAGATCGTCATAGTGTGTTGCTGCACTTAATGAAAACATTTACTCAAAGAAAGTCTGTCAATGTTACAAATGCCAAAGAAATGTACTTCATCTGCTTTAACAGGAAATGATTCACCAATTGGAAAACGATCTAAAAGGAACGAAATGGGAAATGGCTCGTCATCTCCGGGAATATCAGGATCTGCTCAACGTCAAGATGGCACTGGATGCAGAAATAGCCGCTTACAGGTAGAGTTGTCCACAATATTCTACTTATTTGCATCTCATGCATTTGATTTCTGACAAAACATCTCTATTTAATTTAGGAAACTGCTGGAAGGTGAGGAGACTCGCTTCTGCGCCGCCGTAACCGCATTTGCCTACAGCCAGCCAAAAACCTCAAAGGTCAAGCATAAAATAGTGGAGGAGATCATCGAGGAGACCAAAGGAGAAAGCGACATCGATGATGATCTGGCAGAGGTGGCAAAAGAGGTGGCAGAAGAGGCGGAAGAGGAAGAGAAGGAGGAAGAGGAGGAGACTGTTGCTGCCAGTCAGGCCAAAGTGAGTTCAGCCGCTCCCGAAGGAGAAGAAGAGGAAGAAGAAGAAGGAGGAGATGAGGAAGAAGAAGCAGAAGAAGGAGAAGCTGCTGCTGAGGAGGAAGAAGAGGAAGACGAGGAAGGAGAGGAGGAAGAGGAGCCACAAGTGGAAGTGATCGAAGAGACCGAGCTGTGCGGTGAGAAATCTCCAACATCAGAGAAAGAGGGCAGCGAAAAAGAAGAAGAGGAAGATGAAGGTAAAGGAGAGGAGAAGGAAGATGAGGATGAGAAAGAAGACACCAAATCTGAAGGAGAAGGAGAGAAGAAAGAGGAATCAGGAGGAGAAGAAGAGAAGAAAGAAGAATCAGGAGGAGAAGAAGAGAAGAAAGAGGAATCAGGAGGAGAAGAAGAGAAGAAAGAGGAATCAGGAGGAGAAGAAGAGAAGAAAGAGGAATCAGCTGGAGAAGAAGCTAAGGCTGATTCAGAGAAGGACGACAAGAAAAGCGACACAGAAGAAGATGAAAAGAAATCACCTGTAAGTGAGGAGAAAGCTGAAAGTCCAGCGGAGGAAAAGAAGCAGGACGAAAAGCAAGTCGACAAGGTAGTCGTAGCCAACAATAAAGAAGAAGCCAGTCCAAAAGAAGAAGTCCAAACCAGAACGGTGGAAACCATCACCAACGGAGACAAAGAAACCAAAGCAGAACCAGAGAAGGAGGAGAAGAAGCCTGAAGAAAAGCCTCAGGAGAAAAAGAAAGTGGCCAAAAAGGTGGAGAAAGTGGCTCCGCAGGTGAAGAAGGAGATCAAGGGAAAAGACTGACGCGAGTGACTCTGCCAGGGAATTAGTTATAATCAATTGTTAGGCATAATTCTATTTGATGCAAAATGTGAACAAACCCCCAACCCGAGCGGCGTTTGATGCAGCTAGCCAATATAATTGCATGCGTGTTGAATGACTGACTTGCATGTGTGGTTTTGGTGGTGACGTAGCCACGCTGAGCCGCTGCGTCTGAAACAGAATTAAAGCGCATTTGCATTAAAGTGCGAGTACATTAGGCTGCTAATGAAGGCGAGAGGTTTTACAGCGATGCCAGTTCATCGGCGGTTCTCTTGGCAATAATGGTGCTACTTCAATATCATCATTCGCAGGCACACTTTGAGCAGAAACTCCAGTTATATATGATGTCTTTCTAATATACTTCTTGCCTTAAGACGTAATGCACTGAATCAACGAGAAGAGTCGGGTTGTTAACACACAAACAGCTGTTAACAGAGATACTGTGAAAGCTACTGTAAAGTTGCTGCTCTTTGCAATATCACCTCAATCAATAAAAGCTCATCAAGTCCTTACAAAGCTACTCGTGTCTTTGTATTTATGCTACTCTACAGCAGGGGTTCCCAAAGTTCAGCCCACGACCCCCAAAATAACAATGTCAGTGACTCACGAGGTGGTTATAAATGTACAAACTTTGCACACACAACTAAAGGCCATTCATTCATTTCAAAACACTGCTAGTTTAGAAAAATCACATTAAAAACCCTTATATTTTAAGATGTTGTTTATTGCTGCTCAGTAACCAAATAATATGAAACAAAATAATAATAAAAAACAAACAATCGTCCATTTCTCTTTGGACTTAAAAATAAGTGAAAAAAGTTTTGGCATTTAAACGCAAGTAATAATTTTACACTGAAAATAAATGTCAATAAATAAAATTTAAATAAATAAATTTAAAATGAACAAAAAAGAATTAATTTTAAATAAAAAAAATAAAACTAATTATAATAAATAAATAAATAAAAAGTTATTAAATTAATATAAAATTAATCAATTCAAATAAATAAATTATATGTAAATAATTAAAAATAAATGAAATTATATAAATAAAAAATTGCAAATGAATAAATTTAAAATAAATTAATAAATAAATTAAAAATATATTTGTATTTATGCTATTCGACACCAGGGGTTCCCAAAGTTCAGCCCACGACCCCCAAAATAACAATGTCATTAACTCACGAGGTGGTTATAAATGTACAAACTTTGCACACACAACTAAAGGCCAATATAAACATGAGCATATTGACAACACAAACATGCAACAGTCTTATAACCATATTTGTTTATAGTCATTTATTAATATAACTTAATATTAATCTCAAATATCATATTTGAATGTATTAGAGTGCCATAATGCAGTGTTTCTCAACCACGTCCCTGGAGGACCACCAACTCCATACATTGTCAATGTCTCCTTAACCAAATACATCTGATTCAGATCATCAGCTCATTAGCAGAGACTGATATACCTATAATGGGTGTGAGAGCCAAAGGTGACATGCAGTGTTGGTGGTCCTTCAGGAACGTGGTTGAGAAACACTGCCATTAAAGCTGTCAGACCCCCTACCTTCAAATTAATCTGCTGCAGCTGACACTATTGCTGTATGTAGGGATGCAATGATTATAGATATTGGTTGAGCGATTATAGTCTGAAGAATATTCACAGTTATTACGATTATTATGTATTCATTCATTTCAAAACACTGCTAGTTTAGAAAAATCACATTAAAAACCCTTATATTTTAAGATGTTGTTTATTGCTGCTCAGTAACCAAATAATATGAAACAAAATAATAATGAAAAACAAACAATCGCCCATTTCTCTTTGGACTTAAAAATAAGTGAAAAAAGTTTTGGCATTTAAACGCAAGTAATAATTTTACACTGAAAATAAATGTCAATAAATAAAATTTGAATAAATAAATTTAAAATGAACAAAAAATAATTAATTTTAAATAAATAAATAAAAATAATTATAATAAATAAATAAATAAAAAAGTTTATAAATTAATATAAAAATTAATTAATTAAAATAAATTAATTAAATGTAAATAATTAAAAATAAATGAAATTATATAAATAAAAAATTGTTAATGAATTAATTTAAAATAAATTAATTAATTAATTAAAAATATATTCGTATTTATGCTACTCTACAGCAGGGGTTCCCAAAGTTCAGCCCACGACCCCCAAAATAACAATGTCAGTGACTCACGAGGTGGTTATAAATGTACAAACTTTGCACACACAACTAAAGGCCAATATAAACATGAGCATAATGACAACACAAACATGCAACAGTCTTATAACCATATTTGTTTATAGTCATTTATTAATATAACTTAATATTAATCTCAAATATCATATTTGAATGTATTAGAGTGCCATAATGCAGTGTTTCTCAACCACGTCCCTGGAGGACCACCAACTCCATACATTGTCAATGTCTCCTTAACCAAATACATCTGATTCAGATCATCAGCTCATTAGCAGAGACTGATATACCTGTAATGGGTGTGAGAGCCAAAGGTGACATGCAGTGTTGGTGGTCCTTCAGGAACGTGGTTGAGAAACACTGCCATTAAAGCTGTCAGACCCCCTACCTTCAAATTAATCTGCTGCAGCTGACACTATTGCTGTATGTAGGGATGCAATGATTATAGATTTTGGTTGTGCGATTATAGTCTGAGGAATAATCACAGTTGTTACGATTATTATGTATTCCTTCATTTCAAAACACTGCTAGTTTAGAAAAATCACATTAAAAACCCTTATATTTTAAGATGTTGTTTATTGCTGCTCAGTAACCAAATAATATGAAACAAAATAATAATAAAAAACAAACAATCGCCCATTTCTCTTTGGACTTAAAAATAAGTGAAAAAAGTTTTGACATTTAAACGCAAGTAATATTTTCACACTGAAAATAAATGTCAATAAATAAAATTTAAATAAATAAATTTAAAATGAACAAAAAATTATTAATTTTAAATAAATAAAATAAAACTAATTATAATAAATAAATAAATAAAAAGTTAATAAATTAATATAAAAATTAATCAGTAAAAAAATATAAATAAATGTAAATAATTAAAAATAAATGAAATTATATAAATAAAAAATTGTAAATGAATTAATTTAAAATAAATTAATAAATAAATTTAAAATATATTTGTATTTATGCTACTCAACAGCAGGGGTTCCCAAAGTTCAGCCCACGACCCCCAAAATAACAATGTCATTAACTCACGAGGTGGTTATAAATGTACAAACTTTGCACAAACAACTAAAGGCCAATATAAACATGAGCATAATGACAACACAAACATGCAACAGTCTTATAACCATATTTGTTTATAGTCATTTATTAATATAACTTAATATTAATCTCAAATATCATATTTTAATGTATTAGAGTGCCATTATGCAGTGTTTCTCAACCACGTTCCTGGAGGACCACCAACTCCATACATTGTCAATGTCTCCTTAACCAAATACATCTGATTCAGATCATCAGCTCATTAGCAGAGACTGATATACCTGTAATGGGTGTGACAGACAAAGGAGACATCTAAAACATGCAGGGTTGGGGGTCCTTTAGGATTGTGGTGGACAAACACTGTCATCAAAGTTGTCAGAAAGTTTAACCTGGCCCCTTAAAATCAACCTGCTGGAGCTGACAATAATTGTAGTGTGATCTAAACACCCCAGGGGTCACAATCCAACAGAACAAAATAAAAAATTGAAAGGCTGATATATCACACACACACACACACACACACACACACACACACACACACACACACACACACACACACACACACACACACACACATACATACATACATATATATATATATATATATATATATATATATATATATATATACGACAGGTTGCAAAAAAGGCCGGTTGCAATAGCAAACATGTCATGTTGTGCTGTAGGATGCCAAAATCAAAAGTCCAAAAATAGAAAACTTAAATTTTACCGTACACCACACTGCTTTTAATGCCAACCACATATGTCTTGGCTAACAGCCATCAGAAGAGCTGAATGGAGTGAGGACCTAATTAAAAATGCTGGACTCTGCAGTTCTCATGTTATATAAGGTAAGTTCACGCTATGCTAAATCATACACATTACTCATTTTTTATTGCAGCAATGATTTCAGCAAAAACAGTTAAATATGGTGAATTAAACAGCGGACACTAAATTCTTAGAATGAAATGGAAAAATGTAAGTTCACATACCCTGCCGTACAGATGCAGTTCACTGTCAGAATGAAGTTGTTTTGCTTGTTGATGATTACCCAGACCTTGTATAGCTCTGTCTTCTTTGCTTGTCCTTGACAAAGCAGAACCTCGGTTTTTAGCACTACAAAGTTTGGAATCTGGTCCTCATGGAACATTATTTCTTGCACACGACCACACAGAACTCAATTGTTGACATCCAAAAACTTGTAGGCCTTTAACTTCTCTCTTGTAAAATCACTTGGAGTTTCAATGAGATTGTATATTTCAGGCTGGATGCTTGGCCATTTCATCTTATCCAATATCCATTGGAAGGGTGCTATCGCAGATGGACCTGTCAGACGAACGCCGCTCACTTTAATGTTAATTTAGCAGAATAGCTGTGCTTATAACTAGGTGACGAGCTGTTATAATACACTGAAAGCATTATGTAAATAAGATATAAAATATGTAATCAATATAACTTATTGATATCTTTAATAACAAACAACAAACTCTGTACCGCATCGGATGTCATTGCCTCGATGTAAATGCTAGCGCCCCCGTTTTTTTTTCTGCCACCTCGCTGCGCGCGCAATCTGAGTGTTTACAAAGTGGTAATTCACCTATAGCACATGTCTTTGGATTGTGGGGGAAACCAGAGCACCTGGAGGAAACCCACGTGAACACGGGAGAACTTGCAAACTCATCACAGAAATGCCAACCGGCCCAGCTGGGACTCGAACCACTGACCTTCCTGCTGTGAGGCAACAGTGCTAACCACTGAGCCACTATGTCACCCATCCAAAAACATTATTTAATAATAAACTGATACAAAAAAAGGTGTCATCCCTCCTCATAAGAAAGACCTTGACTTCACTTGGACGCCAAGACGAATAGTTTCTTTTTCCACGTGTGCAAATGAAGAGAATGACAATTAGACCGGAAAAGTGAAGCATGGCCAATCTCACAAGTGTTTCATCACGGCGTGGACATTAATCACATTCTTCCCCCAGACTAGACCACTCTGTCTAACAGATCTCCATTAGTGTGACTAGCCGTCACTGTGTGGCTCTCAATTAAGGTAATGGAGAACATGTGCAGCAGCTCTCCAGCCAAGCCCTCTGGCTCATCAGGTAACTGAATTTGTGCAAAGGGATGTCGCTGAAGAGGCAATAATTGGATTTGCATGCTAAAAAACACTAATTGTGCTATACAGATGACAAATCGATACAGATTTGTGGTGATCACTGGGTAAGGCTGATGAGGGAGGACCACATCTGGACAGGTTTATCCAAAACAGAAACAACAAACCTACATGTTACCCATCCGGATTTTAGGCACTGTGCAAATACAGGGTAAAAAAGTTGGTTTGATATTTGCACATTGGGACTTTCTCCTTAATATTATATTTTCAGAAAAGTGTTATTAGCAAATTCTAAATAGAAAAGTCATTTTAGCAGCCAAAGACTATAAAAAGGAGATCATTGCTCACAGCCATTAAAATATTGCCAATGTCAGGCCCATAGCCAGGGGGGCTTGGATGGTTCAGAGACTCACCCCACACTGATAAAAGGTCTATAACTTGTCTTATTTGTCTTATTTCAACTTCTATCCCATCATAGATTGTGAAAACCCAGCAAATAAGGCTTTTATTGAATGCAAACAATTATTTATTACGAGTCCAACATCCAGCTGTGCAAGAAAACATACAAAATTACAAAAGTGAAGTCATCTTTTACTACAAGTAGCCCAACTTTTATCCTGAATCTTTGACCTTAAGAAAAAATACAGATAAAAAGGTTTGAAGCACCAAAAGTGGCCCATATTAACATTTTCTTATACTTATTAGGCTATTTTTGTTATCCTTAAACTTTTAAAATGTTTTTTTTTTCAGAAAACACTACATTATAAATATTATTCATTCATTCATTTTCTTTTTGACTTACAGTAGTCCCTTTATTAATCTTGGGTCGCCACAGCAGAATGAACTGCTTATTTATCCAGCATACGTTTCAAGCAGCGGATGCCCTTCCAGCGCTCAACCCATCACTGGGAAACATCCATACACACTGATTCACACACATACACTATGGACAATTTAGTCAACCAAATTCACCTATACATGTCTTTGGACTTGTGAGGGAAACAGGTTGCACCCAGAGGAAACCCACGCCAACACGGAGAGAACATGCAAACTCCACACAGAAATGCCAACTGACCCAGCTGAGGCTCGAATCAGCAACTTTCTTGCTGTAAGGCGATTGCGCTACCCACTGTGCCACCCACTGCGCCACCATGACGCCCTATTAATATTGTTATGTTTTAATTTTTTATTATTCAAATGGCCAAATTCTGACTGAGGAAAGTTGAATGTGCTGGCCAGTTTATTTGCCCAATAAATGACAACAGGCTAGTTTTGTTTTGTTTTTCATTTAAAACTTCAACTCCTTTTTTAAAAGATGATGCAATAAATTTGTAATTAAAAATAAGTATTTTATTCATATTTCTTCATTCTATGTATTGAGCAAATGTTTTTGGTACCTCAAAAAGTAGATTTATGATGACTATCTGAAAAGCTAATCCAGCTAAAATAGTCCTTAGCATATCACTAAAATGCAGTATTTAAGACTCAAAATTCTATAGAAAATGAGGCGAATAACTGCAAAAAACGTGCACTTTTTGAGAAAAAAAAAGATCCACCCTTTTGTCAGGCATAGCTACACTGAATGTTGTTTTGGAGTCATACCAGCATGCTATGTTTCTGACCGAATGTTCAAAGTAGCGTGCTAAACAGTAGGGACAGCGTCACTCAAGGATTGTGTGATTATAAAACCAATACTGTGCAGTACTCACCTCATGTCTACGTGCATGGATGAGGAAATGAGCTGTGCTTTTTTTTTGTCCTGAGTCTGTCGTTCAAGTGCTGAATGGGCACAAAAAAAGTCACGTGAAATCACTCTAGTGAATCGCTTTAGCTGAGCTTTGAGGTTTCTTGCATAATATTGATTACAGCTGTCATGAATAAATAATCAATGCACAGCACTACACTGCTTCTTAATTCAAGATTTAGAGCATCTTAGTGAAAATGCAAAGCGTAAACCGTGCATTTTACTGTATGTACGGTATACGAAACATATATTGTGTACAGTATGTATTGTAAAGGATAACCTAATTAAATATTATGTTGAATGGGGATACCACATCTCACAATGCAGTACACGCGACCTTTTATTACCGGTTTTACAAACGAGGTTGAAGTCCAGTTAAAGAACTTTACCCTTTACTTTTTTCATACCTTTATGAGTTTCTTTCTTCTGTTGAACACAAAAAATAAAAAAAACAATGGAATTCAGAGGTTACATGTTTTCAGCTTCAAGATAGCTCCAACCACCTCCAGCTTGACTAGTTGGATCAGCTGTGTTTGATTAGGGTTTGAGCAAAACTGTGCAGAGCTGTGGCCCTCCGGTAATCAAGTTTGAGAACTACAGTAGGGGTGTTTAAACTCGGTCCTGGAGGGCCAGTGTCCTACTGAATTTAGCTCCAACTTGCTTTAACATACCTGCCAGGAAGTTTCTAGTACAAGGGAGCCCAAACTCCTGGAGGTCCAGTGTCCTGCAAAGATTAGTTCCAACCCCAATCAGACGCACCTGGGCCAGATAAAGCTCTTACTAGGCTTTCTAGAAAAATCTGTGCAGGTGTGTTGAGGCAAGTTGGAGCTAAAATCTGTAGGACACCAGCCCTCCAGAACCGAGTTTGGACACGGCAGTTCTAGTGTATCTGATAAGACAGGGGTGTCAAACTCAATTCCTGGAGGGCTGAAGCCCTGCACAGTTTAGTTCCAACCCTGCTCCAACACACTTACCTGTAGGTTTCAAACAAGCCTGAAGGACTCAATTAGTTTGATCAAGTGTGTTTAATTAGGGTTGGAACTAAACTGTGCAGACCTGCGGCCCTTTTGGAACTGAGTTTGACACCTGTGTGATAAGAGTTTGATTAGCTAGTTCAGATGTGTTTGATTGGGGTTGAAGCTAAACACTCCAGGACACCAGCCCTCCAGGACTGAGTTTGGACACCCCTGGCTTACAGCATGGTTAGCTTAGCATAGCATAGCTAACAGAAAAAAACATCAACAAAACAAAAGTTCAAGGAGGTTTGTCAAGTTTTTATTAGTAGGCAATGAACCTTTCTTTGAGGATTTGTTCTAAGGCATTTTGAATAAGCACACTTGTGTTATCATAGGCAGTTAATTGGTAGATAAATGCTGAAGGCATACTGACACAATGCTCAAATAATTATATAATTTGCATTTTAATAAATAAACACAATCAAACCAACACAATCCCTGCCAAGCGCAAACATAAGGCATGTATTCATGCATAGGCTACTCTGGCTCTGGGTGCTCCCTATGGATGCGTTTATTATTCTTGTTTTGTGTACATTATTGTTTGCTGTTTGAACAGAATCTGAAATCAAGCATTAGGGCACAGTGAAGTTGAAGTTGACAAGGTTTGAACACCTATAGCTAGCACCAGGGGGTTTGGTTCAGGATGTTTACTTCTCTTTTGGCTTGGCTTTCTCAGCTTTGCTATCTTTCTCCTCTCCTCCTTTCTTTTTTTCCTCTTCTTTTCCAGCATCATCCTTCTCAGCCTCATCTTCTTCACCTTCATCACCCTCTTCTCCTCCTTCCTCCTTTCCCTCTTCCTCTTCTCCTTCCTCTTCCTGTTCTCCTTCTTCCTCTCCTCCTTCTTCACCACCTTCCTCCCCTGTGAAAGAGTCAACAGAGAACAAATGTCACAAGTGGGTGTGTGCAAAATTGAATTGAAGCCTTATATATTAAGTATATGATCCTCACCCTCTTCTTTTTCCTCTTCTTCTTTTTCTTCTTCCTCTTCCTCCTCCTTCTCACCCTCTTCTTCTTCCTCCTCCTTCTCTTCTTCTCCCTCCTCTGCTTCCTCTTGCTGTTCCTCCTCCTCTTCCTCCTCCTCTTCTTTCTCAGGACTTGCCTCAGCCTCCTGCGCCTGGGTGGCTTCTATGATCTCATATGGTGAGGCAGAGTAACTCATCAGTCTGGTTCCCAATAGATAGGGGGCGCCAGAGGTCAGGCTTGCCTGAACTGAGAATACAGGACGACCAAAAGAAGGAGTGGCAGCAATGGAGGGAGAAAACACACTAGAGATTCCACCAATGCCGCCCACGTTAAAGCGGGTTTCTTCTCCTTCTAGAAGCTTCCTGTTGGAAGTAGAAAAAAAGTTTAATTCAGATTTGGAGGGGGGTTGTTTAATTTATGTAAAATCTCTATTAAATCAACCTATGTTTAGATTTTATAATGTTATTTATCGCCCTTCAATTGTAGTTGTGTGCATTACTAACCTGTAGGCAGCAATCTCAATATCCAAGGCCATTTTCACATTAAGAAGGTCCTGATATTCTTTAAGATAACGTGCCATTTCACTCTTCATTGTCCTTAGTTCATTCTCCAGGTCACCGATAGTATCCTGTCCAGACAAAAGTGTGTAGTAAATAGCCTTTATGTAGTAGGGCATGAAACTAGCAACATCAAGGTCAAGGGTTTGATTCCTAAGGAAAGCAAAAACTACTTAAATTTGTATTATAAATTTAATGGATTTATTTAAACAGAAACATTGGCCAAATACATAAATTTAAATTAAATGTGAATTCTGACCTGTAAGGCAGCGATCTCTGCACTCTGCTTCTCCTCGACTTCTTGAAGTTGCCTCTCCAGAGCTTGGTTCAGTCCCTGACATGCCTCAATCTCTAGATCTCGAGCTTTCAGAAGGCGACGGTACTCCCCAGCCTCATCTTTCGCCGTGCGGATGTTCTCCGTGTGTTTAGCCGTGTCTTCCGCCATTGTGCTCACCTTCCCGCGGAACCACTCCTCAGCGGCCTGGATGTTCTGCTGAGCCAGGCGCTCGTACTGACCTCTGATGTCTCGGAGAGCCACAGAGAGGTCCGGTTTTGCCACTTCCATCTCCACTGACACTTGGGCGGTGTACTGCACCTGAGCTTGAAGCTCTGCGATTTCACTTTCATGCAGCCTCTTGAGGAAGGCCAACTCATCCAGCAAGGTGTCAGCACGTTTTTCAAGCTCAGAGCGGGCCAATGCCGCCTCATCCACTCCCTTTCTGGCATCCATCATCCGGCCTTCAGCTTCCTCACGGGCAAGAACTTCTTCTTCATAGCGACTCTGCAAGGCCTTAAGTGCCTCTTCCAATCGGTCACGCCTTTCTTGAGCAGCTTGGCGCTCCCTGCGGGCCTCATCTACCGCCGCACGAAGTTCCCTTGCCTCTTGTTCATACAGACCCCGGAGTCGGGAAGGTTCACAGTGCCTCTGGCGCAGCAAGAGCAGCTCTGACTCCAGTGCACGATTTTGGAGCTCCAAGCCATGTACGCGCTCAATGAAGCTGACAAAGCGATCGTTGAGGTCTTGAAGCTGGGCTCGCTCCTGGGTCCGCACTTGTTTAAACTCTGAGCTCAGCTGAGTGGCCTGGCTCAGTTCCATATCTGCAGAGGCAGCAGAAAGATGCAGACCCGCACCAGAGGAGAGAACAGAAGCACGGGATGGGGATGAATAGGTCGAATAGACAGAACGAGAGCGACTGCTTCCTCCACCAAAGGGTGTCCCGCTACGCACCACAATCCGCCTGCGCTGCACAGACGGGAGATAAGGGTTGTAACTCATTGAGCTCATGATGAATGAAGAGAGAAGAGAACAGAGACGGTTTCCGCAGTGCTGCTGCTGCTGAAGAGAGAGAGATCTGCGAGGATGTACAGCACTGGCAAGGCTTTTTATAGCAGGCGGTGAGACTCTGACGCAGAGCTTTTTACTGACAGCGTGAATCGATTACCTTCAGTTCTGCTGGGATGGGTTCTCGGAGAGTAGAGGAGGAATTACAAAAATGGATTGGCATTGAAATGCAAGAGAGAGAGAGAGAGAGTGAGAGAGAAAGCGAGAGAGAGAGAGAGAGAGAGAGAGAGAGAGAGAGGGAGAGAGAAAGAGAGAGAGCACAACCAAAAGGCCAATGAGGACAAAGATTTCAAGAGCGTATGAGTACATAATTCATCATGTTTGGCTGTTACACTGCACAGTGCCAATAGAGGACAAACACAACAAAGAGCCAATACATTTTCCCCTTTTGTATAAGTTTCCAGAAAGTCTGTTTGGTTTAAAGAATGTTTCTAGTTATGAGATGAAAAGTTTGCATATCTGCAAACTCTTCATTGTTTGCTTGTGCAGTCTTTCAATTTTTCAGTGGTCTGTACATCTATTTCCAGCAGTACAGAGCATTAAAATCTCTCAGCCACTCATTCCTCTACACGGTATATCAACAAACTGGATATAAACACTAACAGAAGCACTAACACAAGTAAATGCTTCTCTCTAGTGGTGGTCAAAGGTATTGTAAAATTCCATTAGCGTCCCTCAGACAAAATGCAGAGTCATCATTGAGCAATCAGAAAACTACAGATCAAAGCAATAATAATCTGTATACACAGTGATGTCTATATTATAAAACATGCCTTCTTTAACAGCATTTTTTCCAGTTTATATTCTTTTGCCATTAAGAAATGTCAGATTGTTGCAGCCAGTCAATTTTCCTAGCACGAGCTGTAAAATATTTTATACAGAAATAACCTAATATTTACATAATTACATATGACATATTAAAAATGCATTCTTTATGTATAAGATATTTATTTAGAGTTTTTTTCAACAGTAAAAAAAAACAACACAAAGCAATAAACACAAATAAACTTAGGGTTGGGGGGATATAAGGGTTAGAGCAGGGATGTCAAACTCAATTCCTGGAGGGCCGCAGCCCTGCAGAGATTAGTTCCAACCCTGCTCCAACACACTTACCAGTAGGTTTCAAACAAGCCTCAAGGACTCAATTAGTTTGATCAGGTGTGTTTAAATAGGGTTTAAACTAAACTGTGCAGGGCTGCGGCCCTCCAGGAACTGAGTTTGACATCCCTGGGTTAGAGTGTTCTACAAAATACATACTTGCAAGGAATATTTTGTGTATTACTAATACACTACTACTAGTATGAGTGTGTATAGATGATGGCTTGCAGCTGGAAGGGCATCCGCCGTGTAAAACATTTGCTGGATAAATTGGCGGCTCATTCTGCTGTGGCGACCTCTGATGAATAACTGTACGTTCACACCGAAAGCGGCGAGAGCGTCAAAGTAGCCGGAAGTCATTCATTTTCAATGAGAGCCGGCGGCGATACGCGGCGATAAGCGGCGAGGAGCAGCGCGGCGCGTCTTCGCCGGCGTGAGCGTCGAGGAGAGTTGAAATGAAGTCAACTTTATGGTAATGAGCTATGACGCGGTTCGGCGGCAAGCAATCAGAATGAAGACGTCCATCGCTTGATAGCAGTTCAGAGAACACAGACCTGTGAACTTTGGTTCCGACCACAGTTGTTCCCAAGGGTTTGATTATTGCGGTCGCTGGATTTCCAATTATTTACAATTTTTCCTACAGGAACATGCATTAAATAAGTTACTGGCGAGTTACTGATGTTCATTAATGTTATATATTGTGACAGTACAAAACAGTACTGCTGCTTCAGGATATTTCAGACATATGGACACATATTAGATAAATAGATTAAAGCCACACGCAACTTGATCTTCCATTGTTGTATGAATTTGATAAGAAGTGCGCAACATTTTCACGCTAGAAACATGTTTTATGCAGGAATGTAACTGATATGCTGCAACGGCTCCTTTAAATATGAGATCAATGTAGCGAGTTTTGAAGCTCTCGCCGCAGGAGCTGAAGGCAGAGAGCGTTGTCGTCAGGGCGGCCAGAGCGACCTTGGACACTCTCGCCGCTTTCGGTGTGAACGTACGGTAAAGGGACTAAAGCCTGGTTTATACTTCTGCGTCAAGTGACCTGCATAACCCACGGTGCATGCAACACCTGTAGTTGTGCATTTATACTTCTGCGCGCTGTGTCTGTTGGTCTGCATTAACACTTCCAAAACGCTAGTTGGCAGTGAGGTGTAAATGTTCCTCTGTGTCGAGTTTCTTCGCTGCTGTTTTACTTTTTCTGAACATTTTCTAGATGTACAAGTGGCTCAAACTCGCTCATTTTGAAGCAGGAACTGGCGGACGTGCAACAACTTTAACTATGAGGTAAACACAAAACAAAACTTTCCATCCGGAGTTCCTTCACGGGACTCCACACTTGTAAACAATCGCTCCATTGGGCTCGCGCCATTCGCGTGGCTCTTGGTCCCGCCCAGACTCGTCAGCGCTACCAAGCCGACCAATCACAGAGCTTGCGCTACGCGTTGTTGCGACATGTAGTTAAATTTTTTGAGAGGTGCACGTCAGTGACGCCGACGGCCACGGCGAAGGGCTATTCGTCAACGCCGTAGCATACCCGTGCGTTTGACGCAGAAGTATAAATCAGCCTTAAGCCAAAAAGAAAATGACTGAATGTAGTTTTTACGCTAACATGCAGTGGTTTTGCATAAAGGGTTAATGTAAATAATGTAAGATGGAAACACTAATAATGACTAATAAACACATTACACTCACATGACTCCATTATGCTTGCCTTGTTTGTAACTGTTGGTTACTAGGTCACCAATACTATAACAAGCCACTCTAACTTGAGGTAAAAGCAGCTACTTTGCAATGGGGAACTTTCTTTTTTTTTTTAATTTGGAAAGATTTGCTTCACATTAGGATGGAAACCCCGCTATTGACACTGAACCATAAACAGAAAATCCAGCATAGAGTGGTTCAGTGAACTTGGCATTAAACGTGTGTATGTGTGTGAGTGTGTGTTCATCAGAGACACTGTAGAAAGACAGGATTCCAGCCGGCCTGTCCAGATACACTGCTATTCTGTTTGAGGAGTCTGAATGGACAAGTATGTCTATACTCCTATAATCGTGCCAAGCACTGTATCGATCCGGAGTACAGAAAAGACCCCAGGACTTTTCGTTCCACCCAAATCTGCAGTCACTCCCACCTTTTTTTCGGATTCCTTTATATGCCACTGCAGCATTTACCCCCCGACTCCACTCAGCCTCCCAGTAGCAACGATCAGACAAAGTTTCTTTACACAGCACCTGCTCATAGTGCTCAAATCTGTCTGGATGATCAGGATAGGGCTGCTCATCTACCACACGCATCACCATTCTGTTTCTCTCTGAAAGAGTGAGGCGAGTGTTTGCTGTGTCTGGATCTAGACTGAGACAGCAGGAATCTGCACATAAGAAGAGAGAGAGGACAACAAATACAGTTCTGTCATTGTAATATTTCATGGCTATAACATCTCATTACATGGCATAATACTTATATTTCATCCATTATTTGTGTATTTAAACGTTTTAAATGACAAATAATTTTGGTAGGGGATTTTTGCCATTAATAAGGAATCAATAACATCTCAGATACCATAATAAAGGATTTGAAAATGAAGGAAGGTATTTTTCATGACACTTCTATACAGCTTAAAGTGACATTTAAAGGCTTAAATAGGTTAATTAGGATAACTAGGCAGGTTAGGGTAATTAGGCAAGTTATTGTATAACAATGGTTTGTTCTGTAGACTATTGATAAAAAAATTAGCTTAAAGGGGCTAATAATTTTGACCTTAAAATGGTGTTTGAAAAATTAAAAACTGCTTTTACTCTAGCCGAAATAAAACAAATAAGACTTTCTCCAGAAGAAAAAATATTATCAGACATACTGTGAAAATGTCCTTGCTCTGATAAACATCATTTGGCAAATATTTAAAAAAGAAGAAAAAAATCAAAGAGGGGCTAATAATTCTGACTTCAACTGTATATTTAAGCAAATGTTTATATTTTATCTAAACATAGAAAGCCTAAATAAATTATATACAGTTGTAGTGAGAAGTTTACATACTCTCAATATGCTCCTGAATGTCATATAAATACTCTTTTTTTGAACAGCGTGAGTGTGTGTTTGTATGTAGAGATGAACAGATAACCTACATTTCTGTAATCCTGGTGTGATCCTGAACTCTCCACAATAGCTGAAACTAAAATATGAGACATGTATGAATGAAGCAGGAAAATGAAATGAGATGTATTTTAAACAAAACTACAGATTATTAAAAACGTAAACAGGAACTTTTAACAGGGTGAAACACATAGCAAACATGCTTTTAAAGTCCACATGAACTGGAAGTTGCAGAGACTTTTATTGCAGTGTGTTGATGTACTTCCAACGTAAACTGAATATTGAGTGAGGAACGGGGTTTTCTTTTGCAGATCAATATTGGGGTTTATTTTGCCCTCCCCCTAGAGCTGGACACGCCCACTTTCCTGACTTTTTCCAAAGTAGAGATGTGAAAAAAACCCTGCTGAAACAAGGGGGTTTCATGGCCCTTTAAACAGCCACTTAAGAGCTAAAATGTGCTGTCCACATATGGGCTATTAAAGCCCTAGGACAGAGATAGGGAAACTATGGGCATATGTGGCTCTTTGACCAAAAACATGTGGCTCTCCAGCCGTTTCTCTTCAATAATATTGAAAATTTTTAAAAGTTGAATTGTTATAGTGTTTTCTACAGCAAAATGAACAAGAACTTAGTTTACAATATGCTGTGGTTTAACTTGAATTGTGACACCAATAAAGGGAAAGCAACTTACATTTCTATGGTAAGCTCGCGTATGTAAATTTAAACAGCATTCATTAGTGGCGATGGCGAAAAGAAAAAAAAAATAGACAAATTCCCTTTGTTCATATATTGTAATGCGTTATATTTGTTTATTAATAAATATAGGTTTTGTTATTTACAAACCGCTAATGGCTCTTTAAAAAAATACATTGAAAAAAGACTGGCAATGTGAGCTAGCAAAATAAATATTGTAAATGTTGCTTTCTTTCCCAGGGATGGGTTGCGGCTGGAAGGGCATCCGCTGTGTAAAAACGTGCTGGATAAGTTGGCGGTTCATTCCGCTGTGGCGACCCCGGATTAATAAAGAAACTAAGCAGAAAAGAAAATGAATGAATGTTGCTTACAAGCAAACTTTAAAGCTCTAAACACAAACTTACTTTATTTTTTCCAGTTTGAGGTCTGGATTGTTCTGTAGAGCTGAAAGCATTTCAACGCCTGCTTCTCCCGGATGATTGTAGCTGAGGTCCAGAACTTTCAGGTGCGACGTATTTAAACTGACAGCTGAAGCCAGAAAACCACAGCCTTCCTCCGTCACCATACACCCAGACAATCTACACAGATGATAAAATGAGACTGAATTTATTTTTGTGCATTAACACCTCTACTAGCATAAGCAGCATTAGGCAGAAACAATGACTTTTTCAATGTAATCAAAGTTTCAACACTAAAGCCTAGAATAATTGATCTATGAGAACAGGAAGAAAATGTTTTGTCACTCTTGCTTACCTGAGTACCTGAAGCTGACAGTTGGGACTCTTCAATCCAGCACATATAAGCTTCACACCAGTATCCTGCAGATCATTATTACTCAGATCCAGCTCTATGAGGGACGAATCTGATGATTGCAGAGCTGACGCCACAATGTCACAACACTGATCAGTGATATTACAGCCGGCAAGACTAAAAGAGAATAAAGACTGTTTCAGTTTATGCACCTGCAATGATTTTGTACACTGTAAATAACAATTATTTGATTTTACTTTTGTAAAAAAGTGAGTAAACCCTTTGCTTTCATAGCAATTATTTGACTTTACTTTAAAAAAGTAAAAAATTGTTGCTTTTAAAGTGATTATTTGACTTTAAAAACCGAGTAAACGTGTTGCTTTTAATGCGATGAGTTGACTTTAAATTCGATTAGTTGAGTTTTCTTTTTTTATTAGATAAATGTTACTTTTAAAGGTATTAGTTGACTTTTCTTTAAAGGTGTGAGTAAGCTCATTGCTTTTAAAGTGGTTAGTTGACTTTACTTTTTAAAAAGTGAGTAAACCAGTAGTTTTTATTAACCTTATTCTAAAATGCGGAAGTGCGCCTGTTTTCGCGATTGTTTTAGAACTTCCGATTCAGTCGCCTATGGGAGAAATGACTAGGAATAATAAACGGCAGAAAACGGTCAAACTACTTGCTCTACAAACAAACGTTTGCATGACTATACAGACCAAGTAGAATAATATAATAAGAAAATATCAGTTTGCAACATCAAACAGCGAAAAGAGCAGTTTTTAACGTCTAAAAATGAATGGAAGTGAATGAGACCGGAAGTCTCGAACCAAAAACATTCTAATCGCTGCACCCGCTCGTCTGCGAAGAATAAGGTGAATAGTGATTAACTCACTTTTAATAAGTGACTGAACTTGTTGCTTTTAATCTTATTAGTTGACTTTGAAAGCAATTAGTTGATTTGCGTTTTAAAAATATGAATTAAATCTGTTGCTTTTAAAGATATTAGCTGACCTTTTGTTAAAAATGTGTATAAGCTCATTGAATTTAAAGTGATTAGTTGACTTTACTTTTACATAAGGGAGTAAACTAGTTGCTTTTAAAGATATTGGTTGACTTTTAATAAGTGGGTGTGTCTGTTGTTGTTAAAGTCATGACATTAGTTGATTTTACCATAAAAAAATTGAGTAAACTTGTTGATTTGAATGTGATAGGTTGACTTTTAATTCGATTAGTTGAGTCTTCTTTTTTAATTAATTAAATCTCTTACTTTTAAAGGTATTGGTTGACTTTTCTTTAAAAGTGTGAAAAAGCCCATTGCATCTAAAGTGATTAGTTGACTTTACTTTTAAAAAAGGGTGTAAACTAGTTGCTTTTAAAGCGAATAGTGGGCTTTTAATAAGTGAGTAGATCTGTTGTTTTTAAAAAGATAATTTTTTTGACTTTACCTTAAAAAGTGAGTAAACTTGTTGCTTTTAATGTGATTAGTTGACTTTTAATTCGATTAGTTGAGTATTTCTTTTCAAAAAGTGAATTAAGTATTGCTTTTTAAGCTATTAGTTGACTTTTCTTTAAAAAATGTGAGTCTACCCATTGCTTTTAATGTTATTAGTTGACTTTACTTTTAAAAAAGCATGTAAACCTGTTGCTTTTATAGCGATTAGTTGACTTCACTTTAAAAAGTGTGTAAACACGTTGCTTTTAAAGCAAATAGTTGACTTTATTTAAAAAAAATTGTAAATCTATTGCCTTTAAAGCGATTACTTGACTTTGCTTTTAAAAATTGCCGTTTATGCAATTAGTTGACTTTACTTTAAAAAAGTGAGTGAAACATTTCAGGGTCTCTGCAGATATCATAATGTCAAATTTAAGACCTTTTACGACTTTTTTAAGACCATTAAGTGTTAAATTTAAGACCTATATCGCAATATCAAAAACACGCGAGAGAAAATATAAAAGCACAAAATTAGGGGTAAAATAAAGTTATTTAAATTGAACAGTACTAAAGTCAGGTTAAATGCACCATTGAACTACAGAAAAAAACAAACATCTTAATGCAGATTTATACTTTCACCTGGCACCGCATCGCACAACTCACGAAACGGATTAAGGCTTTTTTACTTGACACGTTCACCATTGAGATTTTTTTTTTTAAATGACAGGGGCCGGTCCAAAAAACAGAAAGTAAAATCAGACGAATAAAAAGATAATCATTATCACTAAAGATGTTTTTGGGGGCCTCTTTTTTTGTTTTAACAAACTTATCCCTCAGGTTTTCCAAAGTTTTAAACAAACCCTCCTCCTTTCCCATGGCTGTTAGAATTTCTAGCCAATAATTATTGGTCATTCTGGCAAGCAGAAATGTAACTGTGATAGAAAATAGGTAAAAACTTGATTAGGTATTATAGTCTACTGTACTATTCACTCTTCAAATAAATCCAACTATCAATCCCATTTTATCACTAAAACAAAGTGTACTAGTGTCTGCCGCATGGTGTTTTGTAAAGTACTTCAATTACTCTTTTGTGGTAATAGTATAGTTGCTATGGTAACACAACAAGTGTATTAAAAACAAAAAACAAACGCACTGAGTTTAATATCAGAAAGCTGATTGGCTATTGCAAGTTGTCCTTTTTGTAGTTGTAATACCGCAAATTACAATTGGACTAGTGAAATAAAGAACTACAACACCCCAAAAACCTAGCAACAACAACAAAAAGAATTTAAATGAGCATTAGATGTAGCGTTACATGGACATCGCAAAAATAAGACCTGTGCAAAAATATTTAAGACCTAGAACAGCAAATTTAAGACTTTTTAAAGCCATAAATTTAGATTTTTTTATTTAAGACTTTTTAACACTTTTTAAGACCCCGCGGGGACCCTGCATATTAAAGAAATTAGTCAACTTTACTTATGAACGTGAGTAAAACTGTTGCCTTAAAATTATTAAAAGAACAGAATTGTAAAACTAAGCTAATTCAACTCAAAGGTTCTAACTTGCAATGGATTTACTCACTTTTTTAAGTCAACTTGTCACGTTTAAGGCAACAGGTTTACTCACCATTTAAAAAAAAAGCAACTAAATGCTTTTTACAGATAATACGTAAATTCAAAGAGACACTCACAGTGCTTTTCTGCAGTTCATTACTGCCGGCAGCAGTCTTCTCCGTCCCTCATCTGACGTGTTGTATTTTCGGAGATCCAGCTCCTCCAGCACCTCCTCTGACATCTGGAGCATGTAGGCGATCGCCGAGCAGTGAGCAGGAGAGAGTTTATTCTCTGAGTGTTTGTCGGATTTCAGAAACTCCAGAATCTCTCTGGACAGGGTTTGATCCTTTATCTCCAGCAGACAGAGGAACAGATTGATGGATCGGTCAGCTAAAATCCCCTGCTCGTGTTTGATTTTCTCTTTAATGTAAGCTGCGATTGTCCTGATGCTCTCTGAGCTCTTCTCCGTATGCCTCAGGAGACCCTGTAGGAGTCTTTGATTGGACTCCAGTGAGATACCCAGCAGAAAGCGCAAGAACAGATCCAGGTGTCCATTCTCACTCTGAAGAGCTGCGTCTACCACTCCCTTATAAAAATTTGAGAGCAAATCAAACACTTTCAGAGCCTCTGAAGTGTCGTTTACAAAGCAGTGAAAGATGTAAAACGCAGCGAGAAACTCCTGAAAGCTCAGATGTATGAAGCAGTAGACTTTCTGATGATGAATCACAGACTCCAACCTGAAGATCTCAGTGAGCATCCCAGAATTCACTGAGCTCTCTGTAACATCTATGCCATGCTCTCCTAGGTCCTCCTCGTAAAATGTCACATTGCCCTTCATCAGCTGTTTGAAGGCCAGATCAGCAAGTTTCAAGATCACATCTTTGCTGGACTGTAGAAGCTCTTCTGGATTTCTCTGATCATTCTCAGCATACTTCTGGTTCTTTATTTTAGTCTGGATGAGCAGGAAATGAATGTACATTTCAGTCAGAGTTTGAGGAATTTCAGCATTGAGATCATCTTCCAGGACGTTCTGTAGAACCGTTGCTGAAATCCAACAGAAGACCGGTATGTGGCACATGATGTGGAGGCTTCTTGATCTTCTGATGTGTGAGATGATTCTGCTGGCTTGATGCTCGTCTCTGATTCTCTTCCTGAAATATTCCTCCTTCTGAGGCTGACTGAACCCTTGGATTTCTGTCAGACGGTTGACGTATTTTGAAGGGATCTGACTGGCTGCAGCTGGTCTGGTGGTGATCCAGATTAGGGCAGAGGGAAGCAGATCTCCTCGGATGAGGTTTGACATCAACACGCTCAGTGATGTAGACTCGTTCACATCACTGACTTTCCGAGCATCTGAAAACGTAAGTGGGATTCTGCTTTCATCCAAACCGTCAAAGATGAACAAAACATTATACTGTTCAAAAACGATTGAATCCAGATGTTGAAGTTCAGGATGAAAGTCCTGCAGAAGTTTTCGAAGACTGTACTCATGATCTTTAATCAAGTTCAGCTCTCGGAATGAAAGCACAAACAAAAAATCCACATCCCGATTGGCTTTTCCCTCAGTCCAGTCCAGGATAAACTTCTGAACAGAGACTGTTTTTCCAATTCCAGCAATGCCGTTCGTTAAAACGGTCTTGACTTTGTCTTGTGTATAATTCTTAGATTCTGGAAAAGGCATGAAGATGTCATTGCAATTGATTGGAGTTTCCTGAAGCGTCTTGAACCCTTTCTCCATCTGTAAGATCTCATGTTCCTCATTCACAGTTTCACTCACTCCCTCTATGATGAAGAGTTGTGTGTAGATCTGGTTCAGGGATGTTTTATTCTTTCGCAACTGATTTCCTTCAAACAAACTCTCATACTTCCTGTTCATGCTGGTTTTGTGTTTCTCTATGAGCAGATCAACAGCTAAAGTGTGGCATGGAGCAGGATCAGTAGCCTGGATGTAAGCATCTCTCTTCGCACTGAAGAAACACCAAAGAGAAACATTTCTTTGCTAATAGTGTTAAAGTATTCAGGTTAGACTGCAAATAGATCTCAAACAAGAAAAAAAAATGAATGAATAAAAAAACTAAACGCAGAGGGTAGCATGTTCACCTCACAGCAAGAAGGTCGCTGGTTTGAGCCTCAGCTGGTTCAGTTGATGTTTCTGTGTGAAGTTTGCATGTTCTCCCCAAGTTCGCATGGGTTTCCTCCGTGTGCTCCGGTTTCCCCCACAAGTCCAAAAGACATGCGCTATAGGTGTCAGGGTTCTGCCACTCTGGTCTTGTAAATTCTTGTTTTGGTGGCAGAGCTCGGACACTACCCATGTCTGGTCCTGTTTCTGTCTCTGTGTGCGCGCGCGCCGTCGTGGGTGTACGCAGAGTGTGCGCGCTCCTGCTTGACGCGGCCGCGCGCGCTCTGCGCCCCTCAGACGCGTGCGCTCTTGTACTCGTGTTTGTGTTTTCGTCTGTCAGCAGCGTGGTGTTTCATTCCCAGCGTCTCAGTCTTGTTGGTTTCGGTTTTGGTCGGCACTGGGATGAAGCATGCACGCTGCGTGTGTGAGCGCACGGTGAGTGTTTTCATTCATCGTGTGCTTGTGTCTTGCGTCAAAGCACGTGGCTCGGTGTTTACATTGTGGTCACGTGCTTTTGTCGTGTGCTTCAGTGTTGTGTTATGTGAGCGCATGGCTTGTATTGTCTCTCTGTGTCATGCGCTCTCCCGTCTATTGTCTAGTCCCACCCTCCTTGTTTACTCATTATTAGTTTGTCATGTTCACCTGTGTGTCAATTTACTTTTTGCTTTATAATCCCCCTCATGTTTTCAGTCCTTTGCCAGTTCGTCGTCAATATTACTCTGTCTTGTTGTCTCCAGTCCTGTTTTGTCCTGCCAGTCCTGTCAAGTTTTTTTTTGCCTTTTTATTCATGTTTTCCCCTTCGGGGTAGTTTTGTTTTGCCTTTTATTTTTATTTGTAGTTTATAATAAATAATCCTACATTTTTCTGCAATTGGGTCTTCACTCCTTTTTTCCCTCACCGACCGTGACAATAGGTGAATTGGTTAGGCTAAACTGTACTTAGTTTATGTGTGTGAATGAGTAAGTATGGATGTTTCCCAGTGATGGGTTGCAGCTGGAAGAGCATCCGCTGCGTAAAACATTTGCTGGATAAGTTGGCGGTTAATTCCGCTGTGGCGACCCCAGATTAAGAAAAGGACTGAGCCAAAAAGAAAATGATTAAATGAAAAAAAAAAAAAAAAGCACACTCTATTAACATTTACTTACTCCCAGGTCCATTTATATCGAAGTTGTTATTTAGCCGCACGACATTGGTGTTTTGTAACATCTAGTTTTTTTTGAGGTGAGTTGTTAGCCCAACGCTCAACCCGTAATCTAGAGGACCAGGATATACACTTCGGACAATTTAATTTACTTAATTCACCTACAGCATATGTCTTTAAACTGTGAGGGAAACCGGAGAACATGCAAACTCCAAACAGAAATGGCAACTGACCCAGCCAGGGTTTGAACCAGCGACCTCCTTGCTGTGAGGCACCAGCGTTACCCAATGTGCACCATGTTGCCCCTTGTTAACATTTGCATAACTTAAAAAATTCATTGTAAAAAAAAAAAATCTGTAAAATTTAGATGTAAAAAATAACAGATAGCTGTAAAAAATACAATAGAAAAGTAAAATGAATGTTATTTTTGTATATTTTTGGTAAACTACTGAATTTCATCAGCCCAAAAAATTGTCAACAAACAGTATATATGTAAAGGTTGTCGCCAAAGAAAGTGAAGAGAGGGGGGCAGGGGGTGTTGGGGGGTGGGGCGTTCGCGGATGAAACGGACGTAAGTAAGTGAAGAGCGAGGGTTGGAAGGGGGGAGGGGGGTGTCGTGGACGAAAGTAAAGTAGGGGGGGGGTGTTGTCATAGAGGAGGGGGATCGGTATAATGAGTAAAATAAATGATCCGAATCCGGTTTGTTCCGACACAAATTAAGCTCTGTTTATCGTATATATGAAGGAATCCTGCTAATAACTGTAGCATTTTGGAGTTTCTTACAGTTAATTTTTTTGTACATTTTTGCAGGATTACAGCAGTAATGCGGTTGTGTACCGGTCTGTTGTGGTGAATAAGGAGCTGAGCCGAAAGGCAAAGCTCTTGATTTACCGGTAAATCTACGTTAATACTCTCACCAATGGTCATGAGCTTTGTATCATGACTAAAAGGACAAGATCTAGGATTCAAGCGGATTCTGCAGTCAAAAATTAACAAAAATGGATAGGGTGAGGAGCTCTGACAACCGGAGGAGCTCGGAGTAGAGCCGCTGCTCCTTCACATCGAGAGACGTCAGCTGAGGTGGCTCAGGCATCTGTTTCGGATGCCTCCTGGACGCCTACCTAGGGAGGTGTTCCAGGCATGTCCCACTGGGAGGAGGCCAGTGGTGAAATGGGTAGGCTAAATTGTGAGTGTGTGTGAGAATGTGTGTGTGGATGTTTTCCAGAGATGGGTTGCGGCTTGAAGGGCATCAGCTGCGTAAAAACTAGCTGGATAAGTTTTTTTTTTTTTTTGATACTGTAGTAGATTCTAGTCTTACCTGGGGGCGAAGGTCACCGACCCACCACTAAATTTAAAAGGAAGATCCATGGAGCTGGTGCTCTTCACAGAGGCACAGCTGGCTTTTGGAGAAACGTCTGTAATGCGATTCCTTAAAACAAAAATCAGCACAGGAAATGTAATTATTTACTGAAGGCGTTTTATTAATTAATGACATTTATTAACAGACTGCACCAGTGGAAACTCTCCTCAATTAACACAATTTAAATAAACTGTGAAATATGATGTACAAAAATACTAATAGTAGTGTTCTTTTCTTTGGAATTTCAGAAAAACATTAATAACCAAGCCACATTACAGATTCATGGAAAATGAGCTGCAGTATACACACATGCTCTTTAACAATCACACTAGAAACCCTGGCAGAATTTTACACTCCCATGTGCACTAACATGAGGATAGTAAATCTGTCCTTATTTACAGGTTTTATAGAGCATATTTGTAAGTAAGTTAGCCTTACTCGACAGATTCATCACTGACTTCAGGAGTTTCTGCTGGGTTTCTGGGTTGTGGAGATACTGCTTTTCGTCTCTTCTCATTTTCTTCCATAACCTTTAAAAGGTTACATCTAGTGTCAGTCACAGAAGGCCCAAATAAAAACTACATATTGTTCTATTTTCCAGCGGATTTTACATACGACTAGCAACATTTCAAACCAGACAGCAAAATTTAGGACGTATTTAAAGACTTTAACGTTTAAAACTAATTTATTAATTCAGATTTTAAGCCACTGAACATACAAAACAACATTGCTAAACTAGAACAAGGATATAGCAGCATTATAACAAACTAATTATAAGAAATTAGATTAACAACTCCACTTATATTCGCACATTCAGACTTTTTCCTTTATAATATAATGTCAAAAAAGTATTCCTTGCAAATTGGCAATGCAGTGGCGCAGCAGGTAGTGCTGTCACCTCACAGCAAGAAGGTCGCTGCCCAGATAGCAAAATACACTCGGGCCAGTTCCGGCTAGATTGTCGCCTGCCGGAGACTTACCCCTCGGCCCAACTTCGGCTGCCGGACTCGGGCCGGATGACTGTGGACTCACTGCCCGATTCCGGCCCGAATCAAGCGGGCCAGATGCAGCGGCCGTAAGCGAGCCGACGCTGCGCATCCGCGCCGAAATCGGCGCGAGGGTAATGTGCGCTGCGGCCCGGAGCTGGCGCGACTCCGTATTTATACACCTTATAAAACCTTTTGGTATTACATTGGTACTTGATATATGGTATTACAACCATTTGAATTTATATAACAGCAAACACAGGCTATAATGTAAACACAAAGTGAAAGCACTGCGTTTAACCTTTGAATAAAGTGCAAACTGCATACACATTCTGTAACGAAAATAATCAGACAAATGACAAAATAAATAAATGTTAAACGTTTATTGATTGCAAGAAAGAAATAGTACTAAAATTTTATAAATAATTTGTAGTGCACAAGAATATCAATATAAAAACAACAATAAAACAACACAATAAAGACACACAGAAAGATTTAAACAAAAAATCTAAAAATTACACACAAACACAGATGTTTTTAAAACAACCCTGTTTTCCCAATAGACTTGAATTAAAAATTTGTAAAAAAACAGCTAAATTTTATATAAACCTAAATATAGAAACCAATTTAAGATATAGCAAGAAACATCTTAAAAATACCAATGACAATCCGTAAAATATCCAAGTCAAACTTGTGAAAAGTACTGCAGAATTCTGAAGAAACATCTTGAAACATTTTTTAATAAAACATTAAAATAATAATAAACAAACAAAAAAAAAATAAAAAATATATATATTATATATAATTGCAGAAGTATAAAGTCAAACTTATTTTGAAATAAACTTGAACAAAATCAATTGCACAAACAGCAAGACATGAGTGAGATGATTATACATTTCATATATATACACGTCTTGTGCAATTTTATATTTATAATTTTATTTGTATTACGTTTATTAAAAATGTATCAAGATGTTTCTTCAGAATTTGGCGCACACACATACATACATACATACCATACATATACACACACACACACACACATATATATATATATACACACATATATATATATATATATATATATATATATATATATATATATAAATGCAAATGAAAGAAACAAATTGTTCAAGTATCAGGGAACATCCTAATACACTTAAAATGTTGTTTAAAAAATAAAACAAAATAGTGATGTAGACATTTGACACATTAGCTTTCTCTTCTTTCTTCCTCCATCCCTGTCAGGGGCAAGTTGTAGCTACCTTGTAATGCATTTTTCCACTTCTTTATCAGTGGTGTGGTATGGACATTTGTCCTCACTTTATCTGCGATTAAAAGATAAACAGATAATTAGTAGTGAACAAGTACTAATGTAAAAAAAAGAAAAAAGTAGGAAAAAAGTAGGCTACCTACGAAGCAAAAAAAAAAAAAAAACAATAAAAAAAAAACAAATAAACTTAAAACACTTTGAAATTAGCAAGAGCTTGAACTTACCAGTTTCTTCATTTGTTCGGGCTGCTCCTTTAGTTGATTTTCAAGCTTTTCCAAATCAAATTGGCCAAAGGAAGGTCAAATGTGTTCACATCTGGAATTTCATCACGTCTGTTTTGGTTTTGTGAGAATCAGGCCCAGCTGCTGCTTTATGACGTTGCATGATTTTAAAACTTCAGTCAGTCGTGCTAAAAAAGAAAAATAACAGATTAGTATAAAATCAACCTGTAGCTTATTCTCATACAACTTCTGTAAATACAACAGTGGGTTAGTCACTGCTGATATTCTCTAGTTGATCTTTACTTTCTAGCTGCATTAAACCTTAACAAATTTAGTGATGTCTTCAATTCTTACAAAAACATCACGAGATGCAATAAGTTCTGTCTTGATCTCAAACTGCACTAGAACAAAGACTGTAAATGTTCATAGGTGTACTGCAGGAGTGTCCAAACTTTTTGGGCCGAGGGCCAGATGCAAAAAAACAAACGTTATCGCGAGCCAAATTTTACATACAATACACAGACACGTGTATATATATATATATATATATATATATATATATGTGTATATATATATATATATATATATATATATATATATATATATATATATATATATATATATATATATATATATATATATAAATACAGTTGAAGTCAGAATTGTTAGCCCCCCTAAATTATTAGCCACGTTTATTTTTTCCCCAATTTCTGTTTAACGGAGAGTTAAACATTTTTTTCCACACATTTCTAAACATATTAGTTTTAGTAACTCATTTCTAATAACTGATTTATTTTATCTTTGCCATGATGACAGTAAATAATATTTGACTAGATATTTTTAAGACATTTCTATACAGCTTAAAGTGACATTTAAAGGCTTAACTAGGTTAATCAAGTTAACTAGTCAAGTTAAGGTAATTAGGCAAGTTATTTTATAACAATGGTTTGTTCTGAAGACTTAAGGGGCTAATAATTTTGACCTTAAAAAAATTAAACCGCTTTTTATTCTAGCCGAAATAAAACATAAGTCTTTCTCCAAAAGAAAAAATATTATCAGACATACTGTAAAAATGTTCTTGCTCTGTTAAACATCATTTGGGAAATATTTAAAAAAGAAGAAATAAATCAATGAGGGGCTAATAATTCAGACTTCAACTGTGTGTAGATAGATAGACAGACAGACAGACAGACAGACAGACAGATAGATAGATAGATCATAACAAGAACTGCTGCTTAATTGAATGCATGTAATAGCGAAACCCGGTGGTTATTTATTGAATTACGTTCATTTTTGTATAGCGGGCCAGATTCTATTGATATTTATAAAAACCCTCGCGGGCCGCAGATGCCGTAGTTTGGACACGCCTGGTGTACTGGAATGTACAGTATCTGTGCATCTTGATGGTGGTCTTAAGATTTCTGCCATAGTCATTGTTGGTGATGGTACTTGTGGTGCTGCATTGATTTCTGAAATCTTCATACCTGCCTTTTATCCAGCCTCTTTGTTCCAAGTAATTTTTCTTCATCACGGTATAGATGTGTCTATACTGTCCCTTAATCAGATACATTTACAAAACAAAACATCACTTTAGTATAGTGCCAGGGCAAAACTCACAGGTTGTAATAGATCAATGACAATGTTGACAGTATGTGTTTAAAATAATTGCAAACAAACCTGTTCTGTCTTTAGATGTATGACAGGCGATCATCATCCTCCTCTGTCCTCTGTCGAGCTTCCTCATATGCATCTATAATAAAACATCACATTGTTGTTAACCTCCCGTAAAGAAAAGTTCAAATCCTGAAATACTATCAAAGTTAATTAATGCATATAATACCTATAGTGTAAATAATCAGTACACAGAAGGTTGCACAAGATTTATTCGGAGATTCATGCAGAGTGACAGCCTTATAAATCTGAGACATAGATTTGTAAGATGGTCAAGCACATGCATTATTCTGTACCCATGAAGATTAACCTACCATTGTGAAAAATGTTTGATGATAGCCAATAACAATAAACCATTTCAGCTGTTTGTGAAGCAATTAGTAATGTAATATCTGAAAAGCTCAATCTATGTTGAAAATGTATCAGCAGTTTACAGCTTATAATGGACTTTTAGCACACAACTATAACATGCCTATTCACGTTCAAAAGAGTGTGCTATTGACTTCTTTGGTCGTGATGTGCTGCAAAATGATCTCACTAACCTTTGTTAAACAAGAACAATAAGACTTAACCAACAAATATTGTTACCCATTCATTTAAATCAGAATTTATCACTGTCAACAACATAAAAAAAACATCAAAATCTGCTTTAAGACGTTCAGTTTTACATTAACTGAACATTACAGCTTGAACAAAAGATATAATTGATTCACATAGGCTAAAACATATGAATTAAAGTGTACACTAATATATTTCTCTTGGATAATTTAAAGAGAATAGTAAACAGTCGAGTTTCGATCATTTTTCGTGACTAACTGCATAAACAAGATAAACAATAATATTTTATTAATCCAAAACAATTAGTTTTTATTTACACATAATCACAGAATTAATACTTTTGGATAAGTATACGCCTGTACAATGATTTTTTTCAACATCCACGGTACTTTATAATGTTAAATCAGGAAAAAACACGTTTTGCCATGTTAATTAATGGATTCGTCTACAGAAACTTTCTTTAACGCAAAGTAAGCATACACACAAATTCGTTTCATGTTTCTTTAAAATAATTAAAATAGTTTTCAGTTACTACACACGTTACAATCTAACATTGTGTAAAAGGAAAAGGAACTTTCAGACGTGTTTGTAACTGTTAGCGTTAGCATACATTAGCTCCAGTCGTGTTTCTTAAAGCAAGTTACATTTCGTATCAAACTGTTTTAAAGTACTAAACGCTGTTACAACCAAACACCGTGGAAATGTTTTAAGCTCTAAATTCGCTAATTATACAGAACACAAGCAGTAAAAAGCTTACCTTTCTGACCGGACTCCACGTGAGATTTTTTAAAAACCAAACCTTTTCTTCTTGTGATCTTCGTGCCATGGTGGTTGACAACCAGCTTTTTGGAGCATTACCGCCACCGTCTGGATTGGAGTTTGGATCAGGAATTTAGTAACGCATGTGTTTATTATGAAACCAACTTCTGCTTAAAAAAAACAGTCAGCACAGGAGCGTGCTATCTCAAAAATAAGCGAATTTTTCATAGTTTTTCTCTAGATGACATGTATAATCTATTTATAAATAATATTGTTTTGTTTGCGTCTAAACATTGCGACCATCCACACTAAATATTCTTTTTTTTTTTTTTTTTTTTTTGCTATCGTACCATGAATATTTTCTCAAATTATCATTAAACGTGGAGCT